TAAAGTTTGAAAACGCTCTTTACAGTGTGTGAAAACTTTTTGTATGAAGGAAGACTGCCGTCTGAGATGTAAACTGTATGTGCATAGACAATTGTGTCGTCCAACGTTTGTGATTAATAAATAAAACTAAAAAAACTTTTTAAGTTAACTCTGCAACGGACAATAAAAAACGTTATAATTTAAAGTAACAAACAATTTGTTTTTAGTTGTACAAAGTTTTTGTTTTTACTTTAAGTGGTGTTTTAGAGAAGTTTCCATCTTTAAAATTCTTAGTATTGGCAAAGATATCCCATATTTGGATCCTTTGTATGCCTTCCTACAAAATTTTCAATTTCGAAGTATTTATTGTTCTATTCTAAAAAATTGAAATTTGGAAACCTCGTGTACCGACGAACAGACCGTTAACCCGTAAATAAAACCCTATTATTTGGAAAAATCGAAAAAAATAATAATAAAGGAATAAAGAAAAAATCCGCTGAAGGACAAGTTAGTGACCTGTTTGCTAGGAACCTATATGCTCTCTTACTACGAGGCTCTGGTGATTTTAGCATGCTTGACAACGGGCCTGATCGCGCTCGGCCATGAGGTAAATATTTTGCTGCATTTGAACCACCTTGACATTTAAACCACGTGATTACATACGTAATACTCTAATGAGACTGTAGATAAGCTAATAGACTAGCTTACTGAGTTTTTAAGAATCGATAGTCTCTAATTTCATTTTTATGGTCAAAATAAATTTTCTCTGATACTGTCCTACTAATTGCTGAATTCTTAATCTATTTGTGGTCAATTCTTACCAAACAACATTGACAAGATTCGACTGATGACTTAAATATCTTCTTTATTGGGAAAGGTTACTGAGTATCAAAATGATTAATAGAGTTTTGCTTGTCCGCGAGTCCTGTGAGTGTCCGGTAGAACATCAGAGCACGCTATTGTTTAAGCGCTGGTGTTGGTGTTCAAGTCATAGATAATACAGATAATACTGTCTTGACATTCTGAACTGCTACTGGTACCCAAACTTCAATAGGTCTATGATCTTCTCTTAAGTTATCATTAATGGTAACAGTCTACTGCGGACCATAGGCCTCCCCTACAGAAGATTTTGCAACTGCCCAGTCTAGTCTCTTAGTTACTTTACAACACCTACGGAAAGATAGTTAATTCTTCCCTGTGGTCACACGGTTTCTCTGGAGTATTACGTACTGTGATTCACGTGTAAGGATAGCATATCTATAACCTAAAGATAATAACCAAGGTGTGGATGTCGACGGTGCTTCGAGCCGCGGCCACGCAGCGTCGCGCCGCAGCCCAGTCGAGCGCACCCAAGGCCATCGCAACCACGACTGCCGATTGTGGGAGGGCGAACATATGGGGTCAATACTTACCAGGTGGTTATGGAGATTTGTTCATGAAATTTTGATGCTGGATCAGTTCGGTTAATGACTTATGGGGATGGGCTTCAGTTGGGGTGTAATTGTTGGTCCTTGGTGACTTTTTATCCCTAATTAACTTTGTATTCGCAATTTTGTCCACGACAATCAAACCAGTGACCTGTCCTTTCTCAAAAATAACTTTTTCATGCACTGGTTAAACCTTCATGAATTAAAAAACCAAAATCTTCCCCGAGAAGTAATTCTTCAATGGTCATCAGACCATTGGTACTCTGAGATAGTCTTGAATTATGTCTCTTATTGTGGAGGTGTCCCATTCCTAACTTAGTTAAATCAAGCAAAATAAACAGTGTTTCTGTTACTGCTTCCAAAATCTGTCAATTGATCTGTGATCTGTCAAGTCTTAAGAAATCTAAAGGAATTTCCTCTGCTTTAAGAATGAACTTGTTCGCTTATTTTCATGAATTTAATAGTTCTTCTGTCTACTATATTTGCCTATTCAACTGCCAACTTCTGAAGATGTTGTTTTCTTCCCTTCTTTCTATCAGACTTCACCTCCACGCTCCCTTTTACTTTCATATTGCTAGTTCCCAACCCCTCTTAGAGTCCATCCCATAACAGTCGTCCCGAACTTGTCAGCCCAAAGTAGTATTACAAATGACAAGAAAATAGACAGTGTACACGTAGACACGTTGTGACATGTCTACTCCCCCGGTTTCAGAAAGCCACATCAAGTCAATGTAGACAACTATTATAGCATAGTAAGTTTCTCCTCCTGTATCAAAGTTATCTTTAAAGTAAGTTTAGACTACGACACTGCGCCTTACACTCATGGTATAAGTCGAACACGAGTGTAGTGTGTCAGCCATTAGACCGCGCACGCTGCTCATGAGGAAGAACCCCTCTGTTTCGAAACTATTAGAACTTTTCTCAGTATATTCACGTAAGTAACCCGCGGTTTTTCGATAATTTTGTATGTCTCACGATAGTTATTATAAAAACACGAGTGTGTGTAATTGGAAAATTTATTGTGACATGATAATGGGGGGATATTGTATTTTTGCTCCTTAGATGGCGCTATTGTGCACCTCTGGTTCTTCGTCCAATAAGGAAGTTGCTATTGTCACACCATTGGATGTTCAATATTTGACAGCTGCAGTGATTGGACATAAATACTTCTTCCGACATTTGCGCCACTTGGTGTTCACCAAGTACCAGAAAAACAGTACCCATTAGTGTCGCCACAGCGGTCGTCTTATCATCCGTTATGTGTTTACAGGACATACATGAATGTCTGACACTTATGTCAGGATTTTTGTCGTAGTCTAAACATACCTTTACATTTTGAGACCACGATAGTTAATTTTTCAAGTATATTTATTATTTAGAAACTTTAAAGTAATTAGAAGCCATTTTTCCTTTTTATTAAATGTCTTCGGTGACTTTTTTCTTTATAAGAGCGGACTCAGACGTCACGACAAGTCGCACAAGTCGCTAACGGTCGCATGTCTCGGCGCGTGGTGTTCAGTGGTCGCGAGCACAGCCGCTACGCGGTCCAGCTCGCGGCGGTGACATTTGCACGGATGGTATGCGATTATGCGGGTAATAGTCGTTGGGTTGTGCTCAGCGTAATTTGGTTGAAAGGGATGCAGAATTGTTAATTTACTATGTACTTCTATAAAAAAAACAAGTTTGTATTATTGACAACGGCATCTAGTAGGTCACAATAATCAATGACTTCAGGAAATTATTATAGTTTTCCCACCAAATTTGAATTTACAAAAGTCGACTCCTCTACTTTCTAAAATCTAGTTTCCTAAACAAAATAACCTTCATACTTAAATACTAAGTTTACTTCCTTTCCAAAGCTACCAGGGCCCATTTAAACCAAACAAGTTACGCTGGGTAACTCCTAAATTAGGGGATGATTTTATACCAGTACGAGACTAAAAAAAATCGTACAAGTTAGTGCGTGGTACGACAAATATCTCGTCTGGCATCGAATCACTTGACTGTCGCAAAATATTTGGTTTTTCAAGTTTTTTGGATTGATTTAGTATTATTCTGAGTTCGTTTTGACTAACATTGTTTTAGCATGTCAATGGGTGTCTTAATACTTTAGTTATAAAGTTCGTTTTTATTTAAATTGCTCTTGAGTTCCCGTGTGGTGTTTTCCAGATAGGTGATTTAACATCTCGATTCAGAGCGTGAAATCTCTACGATAATTAGGACGAAGTGGGTCGCTATGTCAGATATTCCATTAATAGGTTTTCAATTTTATCACAGAAGCAAAGTTCTTTTTATTTTTTATGGGATAAGCCGGTAAACGAGCAGACGGATCTAGTAAGCAGTCGGCGTCCTCCATGGACACCTGGAACACCAGAGGTCCATGGGCCGGTAACGCACTTGTAGTACATAAGTGCATTACCGGCCTTTTAGGGATTAGCAATTTGAAGATTGTTGGGGATTCAGGGATTGAGGAGGCGGGCGGATAATTAAGCCTCCGGTAACCTCACTCACACGATCTTTCACGTCGGTTTTCTGTAAGGCCGTGATGTCACTTCTGTCGAGCCGAAGCAAGGCATTCCCAAACCTGCAGTTTGAAAATTTTTTGAAATAATTCCCGACATATCTATCCTGACAGTATGCAAACTACTGGAGTCCCTTCTCTCCGAAATAAGTCTTCTACAGCTTGTAAAACATGAGTTTAGTATTTTGATACGACCTTCAAACCTTCAAAGAAAACAGAGGTAGTCCTTCTTGAAAGGCCGGCAACGCAATTGTAACTTAGAGGAAATGTGTTCATGGGCGGAGCTGATTGCTTACCATCAGGTGATCCGTCTGCTCCTTTGCCCTCTATCCCATAAAAATGGTTCCGTCCCTAGGACGCGCCGGACTTCAGTGTTTCGATGTTTCGCATGGTTGTATCTACTGTAGATCCTGGTGCACAAGAGTTGCAGCAGTTTTGGCAAGTTGTGCCGGACTCGGCCCAGTAACAGTCTTTTTAGATTTCGTTTTAAGTATCTGAAAAACAAGAAGGCATTTGGTAAGTGGCTTCGAATCTTATGTCGGTGAGTTTTTTTTTGTACTGAGCGATTGAAATGAGAATTTAATTGAATTTTTAAATTTTTTTCTTAAAATGAGGTTTTACTGATGGAACGTCAAAAGTGACAGCTGTCACTTTTAGTCTTGTTTTGATCGCAACGTACGTGTGTACCATAGACTTGTAATTTTGTTTTCTTTTTTGTTTTTTTTTTTGCATGCAAAGATAATCACTTACGTTTTTGCTTCTCCGAATCAAATGCCCTTCGTTCCACTTCCCGATTTTTTTCGTTTTATTTTGCAATCGATTGTTATGTTACCCTTGAGTTTGTCGTGTATTTAGTGGAACGCATGTGCATAGTGTGATTGTTAAAGTCGCACTGCATTTTTTGTCGTAACGTTTTATTTCTATATTACTTTTTATCATTTTGACACGAAATTATTGTTTATTAATGTATTCAATTCATTTTTGCTATTTTGTAATAAGTTGCGACAAAAAATCGCATGCGACTAAAAGTCGTAACTTTAAAAAAAATTGTCTAACGTTTGTCTGTTTGACAGGAGTTGGCCGGTGGTAAGAGTGGGCCCAGTGGGCTGCGCAGGAGCAGCGAGAGATCCGAATCTGTGTCTGAAGGACGTACGGACAAACATAGTCATACTAGTGGTATGTTGGCAAATGTTATTAGTTAATTAGGTAATAAATTACATACATAACTTCACGCCTGTCTCCCATTTGACTGCACGGTTGGTGCGGTGGCTGGGCAACTGGCTGCCGTGCAACGTGTAGCGGGTTCGATTCCCGCACGGAACAACTCCTTGTGTGATCCACAGATTGTTGTTCCGGGTCTGGGTGTCATGTGTATATGATATTGTATGTGTGTAAACGCACCCACGACACAGGAGAAAATCCTAATGCGGGGCAAAAATCAAGTCAAATATAAAAAAGGGGGTAGGCAGAGACTATGGAACTATGGATTTTACCCCTCAAAAAAGGTGTCACAGTCATTTCAAAAGACTGTCCGCATTTTATTAAACGTCCTTGATATGTAAATAGATAGAAATCTAGCAATAACAAACCCTTTATCTTTTAACATCCAGGTCTAAACGGTCTCCGGAACATAGGCAACACATGTTTCATGAACAGCGTCCTGCAATGTCTGTCGAATACCAAGCCGCTACTGGAGTACCTCTCCGACGATAAATACACGGACGATATCAACACCACGCTGTCTTGTATGAAGGGGGCGCTTATTAAAGGTAAACATTTTAATTTTATTAACCCTTTCAGTACCGTCATTATAGACACAATTAAAGAACAATAGGTTGCGGTCATCGGTGTCCTCGCGGTGTACCGGTGACGGTTTAACCGACTTCTAAAAGAAAATAATTAAGATTCTCAGTTTGACCTATGTATGTATCTATGTTTGCGAGCTGTTATCTCGCGATTGGCTGAAGCGATTGCGATGCGGGTTTCAGAAAAGTATTTATTACGCTGTCTTAGGAGTGGTTTTAGTTCTGTAACCGACTTTGAAAGGAAATTCTCAGTTTCAACTGAATGTATTTGATCGCGAACCGATTTTGATGTGCTTTTTTTAGTTTGAAAGAGTATAATCATCAGATCAGGATTTAAAGATGGCGCCGGACTTCAGTGTTCCGGTGTTTGCATAGTATCTACTGTAGATCCTGGTGCACAGGAGTTGCAACGATATAGAAGGTTATGACGGCATTGTCTCAAAAATTAATAGTATTGGCCTTTAATCAACAGCCATTATAATAATGCTTATTTCGGTTCCAGCATTCGGCATAGTTATAAAGGAACTCTGGCGCAGCGGCGAGAAGGACGCGGTGGTGAACACGACGGCACTCAAGTCGCAGGTACAGAGGTTCGCGCCCCGGTTCATGGGATACAGCCAGCAGGACGCTCAGGTAAACTATACCTTATTGCATTCTAATAGTGCCCGCTTTCACCAACACCTAAACCATCTTTTAACTAAAAGTTACTTAGCATTACGTAGCATCTAAACTAACCCCTGACTTCTACTATTAGGTGTCACTTATGTGTTGTTGAGAACTAAAGTCTTGTGAAATATCATATATTTTAGCTTAGGGGTTACTTACTTAAAATTTGTGAGAAGTTGGTGAAACTGAGCATAAGAGTTTTTTTTATTTCTATGAGATAAACCGGTTTAACGGGCAGACGGATCATCTGATGGTAAGCAATCGGCGTCGCCCATGGACACCTGAAACACCAGAGGCGTTACAAGTGCGTTACCGGCCTTTTGGGAATTAGGAATTTGAGGATTATGGAGGATTCGTGCCGAAGCATGGCTCTCCACACTTACAAGAGTTACTAAAACCTTCAAAAAGAGAGCATCAACAGCCTATAAGTGTCTACTGGCCTCTCACACGGAGAAGGTTTGAGCATCAATCACCACGCTTGCTCAATGCGGGTTGGAGATTGCAAACTTATAATTAGAAATATCGACCGTAAATAAACTTAGAAAGTGGGTGAGGTACATATAATTTGTAAAAAATTGGACTACACGGTTGGCTGGGCAACTGACTGCCGCGCAACGTGTCGCGGGTTTGACTCCCGCACGGCCCAACTCCGTGTGATCCACAGATTGTAGTTCCGTATCTGTGTGTAATTGTATGTGAACTTGTATGGTTGTAAACGCATACACGACACAGAAAACGAAGATCAAATAAAAAGAAAAATTAATCACATTTGTCTATTTAATTATTGTTCCTCCCCAGGAGTTCCTCCGGTACCTCCTGGAAGGTCTGCACGAGGACGTGAACCGAGTGACCGTCAAACCGAAACCCATACTCACTGAGATCGATGACAACCTCAGGTATGTACACTCCTGCTTAATTACTTATTGTTATAGTGTGAAGTATTATAACTGCATCGTTTGCCGAATGGTCCCAAAGGCGACTACCGGGCAACGGGTCTCGGGTTCGATTCCTGGGTCGGAGAAAATATTACTGGGTATTTAAAAAAGCTCTCAGTAACACGGAATATGGAATTGTGCCTTATATATGGCAGGCTCGCCCCCTATTACATGGGACTCATAACATAAATAGTGAAAAGTGGGTGTTACATTGTACAGTGGCGTAATGTGCACCTCTGCCTACCCCTTCGGGGACAAAAACTGCCGATGCTGAACATAGGTTTCCCAATGAATTTCAGACTGGCTTTACAAAATAAAATGACGATGACGACTATGACTGTCACACATCAATATTTTAAAATCAGGATTAGTGCGACATTTCCCATTTCGGAGGATTTTCTATGTCTACGAAAGAACTACAAATCAAATGATTTATTGTAACAAGTATATCTCGCTATTCCTAAAACAAACGATTTATTGTAACAAGTATATCTCGCTATTCCTAAAACAAACGATTTATTGTAACAAGTATATCTCGCTATTCCTAAATCAAACGATTTATTGTAACAAGTATATCTCGCTATTCCTAAATCAAATGATTTATTGTAACAAGTATATCTCGCTATTCCTAAAACAAACGATTTATTGTAACAAGTATATCTCGCTATTCCTAAATCAAATGATTTATTGTAACAAGTATATCTCGCTATTCCTAAAACAAACTATCTATTGTAACAAGTATATCTCTGTCTCTATTCCAGCGACACGGCGAAGGCAGCGGAGGCGTGGAGCCGGTACCTGCGCATGGAGGACAGCCGCGTGGGGGACATCTTCGTCGGACAACTCAAGTCCACGCTGCGCTGCACGCACTGCCATCACGACAGCGTCACCTTCGACCCCTTCTGGGACCTCAGGTACTCATCCTCACTTCCTTACTTCCTTACTTATATTATTAATCGGAAAGTGAGTTTGTTTGTTTGTTTGTTTGTTCCGCCTTCACGCCGTAACTACTAGACCGATTGCTTTGAAATTTTGCAGACGTAAAGTTAGAAGCCTGGGTTAAATAATAGGGTACTTTTTATCCCGGAAAAAATGATATTTCCTAGGAAAAACAAAAATATTGGTATAGATGGCGCTGTATGTACTGGTATAGATGGCGTTGTATGTCATTTAAAACCAGTCAACGAATTACCTACTTATTGAAAAAATGTAAATAGCGCGATATAACCGAATTCCACGCGAGCGGAAAGCTATTTGTTTGCCTGTCTTAAACGGCAGAACGGAGGTACTAATTAACGTGATTTTTTAACTGAAGGTACTTGAACGGATGGATAGTCACATAGGCTACTTTCTATCCTTTTGTGACGCGAGCGAAGCCGCGGGTAAAAGCTAGTGTCATTATAAAACTTCTTCCTAGTCGTCTTCTTCATTACTGATGGTCGTGTCTAGTCTGGTGCACGCGTCACTTGATGCACAACCCTCCTCCAACCGCCCCTGTCCTCTGCGGTCTTTGTGGCTTGTGGAACTGTCAGGCCGGTTAGGTTTTTTACAGCATCGGGTGGGTAAAATGAGTACTCTAAATATAATGTTGTATGTTTGTCTGTCCAGTTTGCCGATCCCGTCCCGCACGGGCAACCTGAAGCTGCAGCAGTGTCTGTCTCACTTCACGCGCGAGGAGGAACTCGACGGGGACGAGAAACCGGTAACTTGACCTTCTATCGCATACTTAGACCTAAAGAGTCGGCAATCCACTTGTAACTCTAATGTTGCGGGTATCAATAACTTCTAGGTCTATCGTTACTTGTTCGTGTATTAATTCCGTTGTTTGATATGGTTGCAAGGAAATAATTTGTATATTTTTTTAGTGACGTTTTAAGTTAGGTCCCCGTACGGAAAAACTTTTTGTGAGGTTCCGTGTCTGTGTGTGATGTACGAACTTGAAATAGTTTTGTTAGGGAAAACGGACGCAGGACATCCGAGTTCAATCCTCGGTCCGACATAACAACATAACATCACGCCTTTTATCCCCGAAGGGGTAAGCAGAGGTGTATGTTCATTATGCCAATGTACAGTGTACCGCCTACTTTTCACTATTTATGTTATGAATCTCATGTAATAGGGGGTGAGCCTATTGCCATATACCGGGCACAATTCCAGACTCCGTGCTACTACTGAGAATTTTTAAAACTCCAGTATTACTTTGCTCGACCCGAGAATTTAACACACTTGCTACCACTCGGCCAACGAGGCAGTCCTCGGTCCGAATAATTCTTTTATTTTTTCTGTTTTCTATTTTATCTTTTTTGTTCTATTTTCTTTTTCAATATTTGTTCTTTTTTCTACGTATGTAGTAAAAACACCGAGCAAAAGTCGGTCAACCAGTTACTATATTACTTATGTTGGTGAGTATAATAACTGATGTTGAATGACAATATTCCAGACGTGTTCGAAGTGCGGTGTCCGCAGAAAGTGCCTGAAGTGGTTCACAGTACAGAAGTTCCCGCAAGTTCTGGTGCTGCATCTCAAGAGGTTCGTATATCACTACATAGTATAAAACAAAGTCGCTATCCGCCGTCTGTCTGTCCCTATGTATGCTTAGATCTTTAAAACTACGCAACGGATTTTGATGCGGTTTTTTTTATAGATAGAGTGATTATTAAGGAAGGTTTATATGTATAATACATGCATACTGCACCCGTTCGAAGTCGGGGCGGGGCGCTAGTAAACCATATTTCCGATGATAAGGACGACTTTTGTGTGAACTAATTAAAAAAGATATGTCCATTGGGGTAGACGACTAATTTTTATTTTAATGTCCGTCTGATAGATTATTTAAAAACATTAGACACGTATTTTTTATTTTCTCACAGAAACGAATAGTTTCGAAGATATATTGATTTGAAATGTCGCGTGACGTCACTTCTCAGTACATTTTATACTAAGGAATGACGTTTTAGCCCCCACTCCTAAACTTTAATTCGTTTTACCTAAGTATTGTTTTATTATACGACAAAATAAAAAAATACGTGTCTGATATTTTTTCATTACCTAAGTTACGGACTAATTATATTTTAAATTTTTATACCCATTGTCATCATCCCAATTTTTAGACTCAACTGCCCAGTCCCCAAGCGGTCACTGGGGACCGCTCTCCACTACTCCATTATAGATCATATTTCCGATGTTTAGAGACGACTTTTGTGTGAACAAATTAAAAAAGATATGTCCATTTCTCTTGATGACGAGGACAAAATTAAATGTGTGTTTTTAGTTTTTTAGTAGACTTCAAAAAAGAACGTGATTCTCGGTTCGATCTCGTGTTTCATCTTGAAACCAATGTCAATCAATCCAATAAAATCTCAATAATTATTAAATGTTAAAACTATACAATCCCTATCGTAACTGTTAAAATAGCTTTCAGAGTACGGAATATAAAACCGAACTCGAATTGGATTTAAGTTTAAGTAGACTTCGGCACTGCTGGGCCGGTTTGACCGGAGTGATACTACGGCCTCACAGAAAACCGACGTGAAGCAACGCTTGCGTGGTGTTTCGTCGTGTGAGTGAGGTTACCGGAGGCCCAATTACCCTCCCATTCCCCAATCTCCCCAATCCCTGAATCCCCAACGATCCTCAAACTGCTAATCCCCAAAAGGCTGGTAACGCAAGTGTAATGCCTCTGGTGTTCTAGGTCTTCATGGACGACGCTGATTGCTTACCATCAGGTGATCCGTCTGCTCGTTTACGTCTTTCATAAACAAGCCCCTGAATTTGTCTGCGATTATCTCGCGACTGGCTGAACCGATTTTGATGCGGTTGTCAGTAATATTTATGAAGTTACGTATATGTATGTTCCAGGTTCTCCCCGACGGAGCGTTTCCGCGGCAAGTTGAACGTGTTGGTGGAGTTCCCCCTGAGCAACCTCGACATGTCTCCGTACGCGGCGGCGCGCGGCCCGGCGCCCGTCTACAACCTCTATGCCGTCAGCAACCACTCGGGTATGTCACACCCACATTATCTATACTATACTCAGCGCCTCCTTATCGTAGCGTGATAGTTTATAATCTATAGCCTACCTAGATCAAGGGACTATCTAATTGCACTGCACGGTTCACGCGGTGGCTGGAAACTGATTGTCACGCAACGTGTCGCGGGTTCGATCCACAGATTGTAATTCCGTGTCTGTGTGTATGTGAACTTGTATGGTTGTAAACGTACACACGACACAGGACGAAATGCTAGTGTGGGGCAACGGTTTTAAACAAAAAAAACAACATCACGCCTTTTATCCCCGAATGTGTAGGCAGAGGTACACATTACGGCACTTAATGCCACTGTACAGTGTAACACCCACTTTTCACTATTTATGTTATGAGTCCCATGTGAACCTATTACCATATACCGGGACACAATTCCAGACTATTATGCTACTACTAACACTTAAAAGAAAACCAACAATACTTTATCCAACCCGGGAATCGAACCCGACTTACTCGGCCAACGAGACAGTAAATAATAATAATATTGTGTGTCTGTACGTTCCAGGTACGACTTACTCGGGTCACTACACGGCGTACTGTAAACATCCGTACACTGGGGAGTGGCACGAGTATAATGACTCACGGTATGTATATTGTACTAGTTTTTACCCGCGGCTTCGCTCGCGTCACGAAAGGATGAAAAGTAGCCTATGTGACATATACCAATACACAGCGCCATCTTTACCAATACTTTTTTTGTCCGGGAATATCAAATCTTTCTGGGATTAAAAGTACCCTATTATTTAATCCGGACTTCTAACTTTACGTCTGCAAAAATTCAAAGCAATCGGTTTAGTAGTTACAGCGTGAAACCGGAACAAACAAACAAACCTACTTTCCGATTTATAATATTAGTAAGGATTACTTTACTCATATATTATATCACTGATATGGCCGACTTTTCGCATTAATACTGAGCAAATACTGAGTTTTTGGATGAATACTCGTCACTCGAATATGAAGTCTTATTTATACTATCTTTAGAGGAACTTCAAATCCCTCTTTATTTGAAGTCTGTTAATTTATTATACTAAAACCTTGTTTTTATAATAACTATCGTAAGACATACTAAAATCACGGGGTACTCCCGTGGATATAATGAGAAAAGCTCTACTAATTTCGAACCACAGAGGGGTTCTTTCTTATGAGCAGTGTGCGCGGTCAACCTTTTCCTAAGTGTAAGTAACTCCGCATCAATATAGGCTCAGCTAATCGCGAAATAATAGCGTACCAACATACACACACACAGGTCAAAGTCGGTTAAAACCTCAGTATTCACTTGGTATTTATCCATTTCGAGTATTTATCTGAAACATTACCCATCTATACGAACAATGCATAGATTACACTGCGCGACAGTATCAATGAGACAATTTTTTTTAAAAGAGTATACCTAACTATGTAATTTCTTGCTCGTTCTTCTCCATTCGAAACTACACTTTGGAACGAGCGCCTAGCTTCACTGACGGACAGACGGACGGACAAATCAATTTTTGAGGCCTTAGTACCAGTTTCATTTACGTTTAAAGTATTCGTAACGAGTACGCGTTCGGCGCTGTGATTGGTTGGTTCATTGGCGCCGGCCAATCACAGCGCCGAACGCGTACTCGTTACGAATACTTTATACGTAAATAACACTCGTACTAAGGCTAAGGCCTCTGTTACATGGAAAAAATAGCTGAATAACTATAAACTACTATATTATCTCAATATTGATTTTATAATGTTTTCGGCTTACTCACGTAGTAATTCGACGAGGAACTCGACTAGTTTCAAGCCATGCTAGAGGCTCATATTCATGAGCAGACTCGAGTAGCCAATAGCAGCGCGACAGTCGCTGCGTCGCGGGTCGCGAAATGCTGCTCATGAATATGAGCCTCTAGCATGGCTTGAAACTAGTCGAGTTCCTCGTCGAATTACTACGTGAGTAAGCCGAAAACATAATAATTTATTTAGTATGTCTCACGAAAGTTACAATACAAATATTTATTTTATAGGAAATGGTTTTTATGGTTTAATGGTTTTTTATTTTATGGTTCAAATGTATCCTAATACTAAATTCCAACATTTACAGGGTGTCCCCAATAAACAGTCGCAACGTGGTGTCCTCAGAAGCGTACGTCTTGTTCTACGAGTTGGCGCGACACACGTAGCACCCCTTACCCCCTCCCCTTACCCCTCTATACCCCCTTACCCCCTCACTCTACTCAGACGCCGCCAGAATTACCTGCCGGCCGGTATGACTCAAGAACTAAATTGAATTTTTTGGACTAGAATATGATGAAGCGATTTTAAGTCACATAAGACGTCTGCTGAACATAGGGCTCTTAATTTTTGGTGATCCCCTAATAGTTTGTCAAGCTTGGGGATTAATGATAATCCCTGTTTTAAGAAAGCGTTTTTTCAGTTTTGGACTTATTCCAGCTAACGATGGTGATCATCGAAACAATAACACGATTTTAATTTTCTAAAATCAATTAAGTAAATATCATGTTCTTCGGAAGTATGTAATTTGGTCTTAAAATCACTTTATCTCGTTCTAAAATTGTCTAATGCTAATACTCAGTCCATTTTTACAAATATTCTGACGATGAGAAAGGACGAAGCTATGTCGAAATATCGTCGTCTCTTTCACACACCAAAATATAAGTCTATAGTTAAAAGAAATGCCTTATAAATATAATTTTAAACAAATGCTTAAAGGAATGAATAGTACAAAATGCAATAGTAACTTTAGGCTGTATATAGATAGCCAAATTAACTAAACACTATTTTAATTATCCACTCGTAAGGTTGATTTTTCTATGAGAGTTGTAATTGAATTCATGTGCGGTAATTTAAAAGTAAATAATTTCCGAAGTGAATAAAAATGATGTCAAGGACCTTTTGTAGTATATTAACCCGTCGAGCGTCCGCGTTCCTTATGATCCAACGGGTGCACACGTGACATTTGGAGAAAGAAAGAAATAAAGAAAGAAAATGCATTTATTTGGCCATTGGCACACGAAAACAAGGATCATTACAATAGAAATAAAAAATACAGTTAAAAACTAAACATTAATGATAGATTTTATAAAAGAGAAAGCAGCATGGAGCATTTTTTCTTATGATCCACCGGGTGCTCATAAGGACGCTCGAGGGGTTAAAACCAGCTCCGAAGAAAAATATTTTTATAACACTTTCTGAAAACCGTGTCAACATCGGTACAGCCAATCGCGAGCTAATCATGAACAAACATACATTCATACGTTTTTTGAGGTAACATACAAACGTATGCCCATGTTCACTAAACCTCTCTTCAATTATAAGGGACCCCTAAGTGACATTTTGTTTGTCACCAATCTCGACACCTAAGTGTACAAGTAAGATGTTAGTGTAGGTGATCCCTTAGACGCTAATTAAATCAAGACTGTTGATGAGAACAGCCATTACTATCGCATTTATAATATAATATATCGCCCACAAATTCAATTACAGCTTGTATAACAACTTTAAAGTAATTTCAGTCTTTATTGCTTTAGTATTAAAGTTTATTTTCCGTCATACCGGCCGACAGTAGCTATTTATATAGGACTCAAATTGTACAAGTATTTACAGTGAGGTAAGAAGATAGAATTATGGACAGGATTTTGTTTCTATATAGAAAATAGTGATTTATATGGCATGTCAAGTTATACTATTTTAATGTACAAAGCTGAAGAGTTAGTTTGTTTGAACGTACTGATCTCTAGAACTGCTGGTTCGAATTGGATCATTCATTTTGTGTTGGGAAGTCCATTTATTGAGATACGCTGTAGGCTATAGAATATCATGATTGAATCGATAGGAGCTAAGGCGAGAACACCAAAATTGAGAAAGAGTATAGCTTGATTTGCCTTCCCTAGAAGAGGTTTCTGGGATTTGTAGTGATGCCAATATTTAAATCAGCTGTACAGAATTACAAAATATTACATTTTTATATAGAGAAAAATACCACAGAGATTTTTTTACTCGTTTTCAACTGATGTCACTACAAATTCTGGAAACAATTTTATAGGATTACATACATGTATTTTCAAAATGTACTTTTGAGTTTACAATGAAATATAGACCCTATTTACACACTACATGTAAAATGTCTTCTTACTTCCTCTATGAGTAACGCCATCTAGTTGTCGAAACTTCAACTAAATGCATAACTAAATAGTAAAACTTATCTCGTTTATAGATTTTATAAGGAATTCATATTTACTTAATCATTTACTATTGTAGAATACGACAACAGATGCTTAAAATAGAAAGTTTTGTATAAGTTGATTGTTTCCATAACTAGATGGCGTTTTAAAAAATATGATGACAAACCCAGTCACTAGATGGTGTTGTTACAAACAAATCTGTTGTGTTTTGAAACTTGGTCAATGCAATAAATCGCTAGTGGTTGCGTATGTCTTGGTATGTTTGGTCCCATTTGACACCATAAAGAATGCTTTAATATAGATGCTGTGTTTAGGTAGAATTTTTTCAAGTGTTTTTTTTGTCCTTGACAAAATATATAAAATAAAGAAAATTGTTACGGAAATTGTCATATTACTAAATTTCAATAATCATGACTAGTGTTTCAACCAATTATTAATTCTTCTAAACCTCTTTACTTATCAAAATTTTAGTTTTAAACGAGTGTACCAAGACATACTCAACAACTAGTATTAGTTATGAACATATTAGATAGAATACGTTTAATTATTTAATATTACTGTATTTTATTAATTTATTACTCTCTCGGACGGTGATGTGGCGTGGTTACAGTTTGGTCTAACTCTTAAAAATGTGAAGTATTTAATAAATATAGTTATGGGTTTAATTTAACCGATCTAAATTCAAAATCGTTACCTAGATTTTCGATATTTTGTCAAAACTTTATTACATTCGAGTTTCAATAAAAATTTTACCATGAATCTTTTTACCAATTTAATTAGGCAAACTTATAACTTGCCTTTAGCTGCGTGACGTTCGCCGCGGTGTATGTCGCGCAATGTTACTCGTGAATATGAGCCCGTGCTGTGGCCTGAAACTAGTCGAGTCCCTCGTCAAACAGTTACATGAGTACGCTGTTAAACGTAAATATTTAACCTCTCGCGTGTTTCTCGTACACACGGGTGTACGAGAGAGTCGAGTGCCCATCGCGCAATTGTACACACGGGTGTACGAGAAACGCGCACCGATTGGATATTTTTTCTGTGACGTATATTTTTAAGTTTGCAACCCGTTCTTTATTTGATTGAACAGAATAGTTAATTCGCTTTTCTATTAAAATATTTACCCGTGTGTACGAGAGGCGCGCGAGAGGTTTTAACTTATTCTTAATTTTGTGGTTAGACATTATTGATAAAAGATAGTTAATCAAAACTAGTCTCAGTAAGCTGTATGTATTGTTTATGAAATTAAAACCTTATCAAACAGTGAGATTATTAATTTTTTTTGTAGTAGCTATTATATCTTGTGTTTGGTTCAGTGTAACCACGTCACTCCACCGTCCAATCGTTGCCATTTGTCACATCCCTCCCCTCATAATTTATTTACTAAACATAAATACACTTATTATTATTGTTAATTATAATTGTTTTTTTTTCTAATTTTTATAGTTAGCGCTTTTTCGAAAGTCAGTGTGATTGTAAAATAGATATTATGCATTTTATTATCGAGTTAAAAATGTACGGTTCGATTGCCTGTCGACAGTTCATCCACGGTTAAAAGTTAACCAATAAACTGCATTTTTATTTGAAAATATTTAGTTTTTTAAACCAAGTTTCGTTTAAAATGTAATTTAAATGATTAGTTATGGTTTAGGCTCGTGCAGTAAGATTTTTTTATGTTATTTTTGGAAATTGTTTACAGGCAATGGGACATTAAAATAGAGTTCCTGTATATCAACCATTGATAACAAACAATCATGTTTCATGTCGAACGTATGGCATTTTTGTTTTTATTTATTATTAAAATTGATAGCGGCGTGCACGTGCGTCGTGGTCGGCTGTCGGGCGACAACTGACCAAGTCGGGCGTTATTCGTCGTGTCTGTATTTATGTTACCTACCCTCGGTTTTGTGGAAATGTTGGATTTAATATTATTTTGGTTGTTTTAGGTTTTTATTTACCTAATTAATATTAGATTTTACAGTTATCTTCAGTAAACCGAGTGTAAGTGCTTTAGTAATATACAAATTGCCATTTGAATGATAATTATGGTACAAAAATAAAGTAAAATCAAAATATTTAAGGTCGATGACTTGATTGTGATGGAGCGTGAGTTTGTATTTTTATTTTATATATTTTATGTATGTGAATGGTGCAATATTTGTGTGAAATTATATGATTTGCTACAATTATTGAGTATCTTTTGAAATCAAACTGAAAATTTCAGATAAGCTACTTTTTAGCCTTGATTTTCTAATATAAAAGTTTATTTCTATGAATAATAAAGTACAATGTTCTTTGGAGATTTAGTTTTCGCATTTTTTCATTCTAAACATGCTTAGTTGATTGTCAGTTCTAGCGATTATGATAAATGACATAGTAAAAAATGTATTTTTACGAGTGTTTTATATGACTATGATAAATTAATTACTGCTTATTATTTCCTAGTATATAATTTTATATAAATATTGTACCGTAACATTTAATATATAAAATAACACTTCAAACAGCAATACGGCGGATTAGCATAGTGTGTTCAAAATATATAAATAAATAATATAATATATATATGTATATGAATTGTTAACGCTTGTCTCGATATACGGAACCGCTGGGATTTTGGGAAAATAAATAAACGTGGTTTTTGTAATTTAATAAAAGATCCCTAAATCTTTATTCTTAGATACGTATTCAGAGGTTTAAAATGTCCTTATATATAGGGGAAAGAGATAACGCTACACGTTTTGTATGACTGCGTCTCTTTCTAACATTTTTGGGAAATTATATAATTTTTATTAATCATGACAAAAGGTGAATGGTACTGCTGTACTCAGACATTGAAGGATTACTTAAACTATTCCTCTGTAACGATATTGTTCCGAAAACAATTGCTGAGGACTGGGTTAAGTAAATATTAAATGACTTGAGTACGACGGCAAGGAACCTATTCACTATTGATTTTTTTTACTAATTTCTCCATT